GTTGCCAAGCACTGGAACAGGCTGCCCAGGGAGGTGGTGGAGTCACCATCCCTGGGGGGATTTAAAAGACATGCAGATGTGGCGCTTAGGGATACAGTTTAGTGGTGGGCTTGGCAGTGTGAGGTTTGTGGTTGGACTGGATGATCTTAAGGGTCTTATTCCAACCAACATGATTCTATGATTCTATCCTATGAACACTTGTGGCACGGTGAGCCCATCCCCATGTTCTCCCAGGACAAGGCACAGCTCTGTCCCCTGGCGCCTCACCTCGCTGAGGGCATCCTCCAAGCAGGCGGTGACGTCCTGGGCCAGGGCAACAGGGCAGCAGAGCCGCAGGTCGTTGAAGGCGACGAGGAGGCCGTTGAGGAAGCAGGCTAGAGGTGGGAAGTCCAGCAGCACCATGGGAGGCTGCAGCGTCCCCGGCTGGGCTGAGGGCACCGGCACCCCGGCGCTGCCCCCCAGGACGGTTGGGGCGGAGATGAGCGTGTAGGAATTCATCTCCTCCTGGAACTTCTCCACAGCCTCCTCCACCGCCTTCCTGAAAGTAGCAGTGGCCACGCGCTGGAAGAGGGGGGCCAGCTGCCCACGGAAATCAGCCCCCACCCTGCTGAAGGAGAGGCCGAAGTACATGCACTGCCCCAGCAGTGAGTCCAGGCGGCCGCCCACCCCGCGCTGGAGATCGCGCTCCAGCGTCCGCAGGAACTCTGAGACCTTCTGCAGCACCCAGCCGTGGAAGATGGCCCCCTCGTTGAGAGCCTGCCCCTCGGGGGGGTCGAAGAGGTGGACGCGGCAGGCCTCAATGGTCTTAGTGATGTGGAAGTAGGGGTCATCGTTGGGGATGGAGGCCTGGATGGAGCGCAGCCAGGTGTCACGCGCCTGCAGGAACTTGATGCGCAGCTCAGCCTCCGTGAAGACGTCCATGCGCCGCAGATAGCCGATGAGGATGTTGGTGCGGAGCTGCTGGATGAGCTGGTTCAGCATCAGCTGGGTAGACTGGCGCACCTCGTCCACAATGCCCTGGGGCAGGAGAGAGGCCTCAGCCATGGGGGCCGAGTGCGGGGAGGCTGTGGAGCAGGGGCAGAGCAGGGCCTACCTGGATCACGGGAATGCTACTGTGCTTCCTCTCCAGCCGGCGCACGTAAGCAGCCAGCTCCAGCGCCTCCTCGTAGTAGCCATTGCGGACACAGGTGTCCATCAGCTGTGGGATCTCCAGGATCTCCAGGATCTCCGTGTGCCGGTTCAGCGTCAGGCTGTTCATGCGCCGGCTGCAGGCGATCTCCTCAGCATCGCGCATGAAGTTTCTGTGGGACCAGGACGGCATCAGCACGAGGGTCCCCCGCAGCAGCAGGTGAGGCCCAGGACCATTCCACC